TTTCTTTATTCTTTCCCCTCTTTGTCCTGTACACACGGACAACTAGATCTGCGTAGACGATTTTTATAGAGGCTGACAATGAAAATGAGCTTCGAGAATGGACGGAGGGTGACACAGCCGTGGACGGAGGGGCGCATAAGATCGAAGACGAAACGCGAGGTGACGAAGAGCGCAGGAAAACTGCAAGAATATGGAAATACTGTTTAATCCGAAAGTAAACCAACGGCATTGGGGTATAAATGATCTCTACCGACGAAAATAACGTTTGGGGTTAAAATCTAAAGTAAAAGAGATCAACCCTTTCGGTTGCGAAAGTGTTACGAATGAAAAAACAGTTATGTGGTTTCGCATAAAACAAAGAAACAAAAGAACGTAGTAGAGAAACTAAAGTGCCACGAAAAAAATGCAGCAACCAGGCCATTTCCTCTCTTTCTATTCATCCCTCTTCCCACTTCGTTTTTTTTTCTTTTGGTACCCACCTTCTTCTTTTTCCTCTGTCTCTTCTTCTCCCTCTTCTTCTCCATCTTCTTTTTTATTTTTATTGATTATTCAATGGAAGCCAAGAGGTGCTCGTTAATTGATGGCACCGACCATGGCCGAGCGCAGAAAAGGATAGAGAGAAAATCGAGGTAGGTCCCCCCCCCCCCCGTCCCCGTCGAAGAAGGGTCCACGAAGACCACCGTCGCCTTATTTATAACGCCGGGGGTAACCGAATTTACGATCAAAATCCCGCGTTCCGCGGCATTGATGGATCGCCGCGACCGTGCACCGCGTTGCGGCGACGCTGGTATTTTCAAATGAACCCGCCCTTTTTCCTCGTGAGACCTCGGCCATCGGCCAGGAAGATTCCCTCCGGACACCGGTCGTCGCAATTCTGACCGGCTTAAACCCCAAACCACGCCAGACCTTCGATTCTATATGTATACAGATGTCTTTCATCGATCATGGGACTTTCATTCGATTCACGCAATGAGATGGAGAAATATGTGTTACCGTTCCGTTCGAAACACTCGTTTCGCTGCTCTACATTCGACCTTGGCTTTTCGGTCGTGCAATAAACTAACAAGTGCTTAACCCTCGTCCATCCCTCGTTTTCCCAACTTAATTTGTCCCTCGGTGTCAAATTGACCCAGTGGTAAAAATTAGTATAACGAAATTATAAATAGTTAAATTTGCAAATTCTTTAAAATAAAAGTCACGAAGAGTTCGCCAAATTTATCTAGACATGAGAATAACGTCATTTCTTATGAGAAAACTGTTAAATTGACACAAGAGACGGATGAGGGTTAAATGCGATGCCAAGTACCCTGATAAAAAGAAAATTCACGACCTTGACCTCGGTATTTTCTTTGAAGGGTCTATGAAAAATTGATGATTTGTATGTCTCGGTAGCATGATCTTCGTGAACATGTTGAAAATGAAGGCAAGGAGGATCTTTTTTTCGTTTTTATGTGTATATTTTGCAATCTTGATTTTGCTCGGAAACACTTGTAGGAAAGGGACGAGGACGAATAAAATATTTAAGTTACCATAATTTTTTACTTACTCATAACTAGGCTGCGGCCTTTATACACTTGTCGCAAATGTAAGTGTGCGAAACGGAATACAGTGAAAATTTTAATAAAGATCAGTGTAAATTTAATTTTGCTTTGAACCTACATAATGACACATGTAATAAAGAAAATATATATCTCTAACTTAATTTCAGTTGAAGGAATTAATCTATAAAAACTTGATCTTACATAAAATTCCAGTCTACTCATCACTTTAGCAATTGACCAGGACATTCTGACAAACGTTTTCTATTGCTCACAGTACTAGATGTCCAGATTAGGTTATATCTTTTACATGAGTTTGGAATTGTTTACTTTGGAATAATACATGAAATAAAATTTGACAATAATTAATATCTAACGGTAATTTGAAAATAATTAATATCTAACGCTCTAGTTTTCAAGAAAATCCACTTTGAACATATATCTTATATGCATTCATTTATGTTTTGAATAAGTAGAAACAGCAAGTAGTGAACGGGCATGTCAGTTTCTCTAATGTGTCAGTCTTTTTCTTTTCATCGTTCGAAAAACTAATAGAACTTATATAGTAATACAAAATAAACAAAATGTCACTCGACAGATTCGACAAATTTGTGTATGAAGAATAATCTCCGTGTCGATATTGTAGTCGAACGGAAGAGTGAGGTACAGACAACCCCAGTATAACACGGTCTGGGTTATGTCCTCTACTCCAAAAATGACCATATTATACGAAACAAAGAACTAGTATGTACATTAGGGTGGTACTTATTTAATAAACAAAATTTTTGTTATTTTTTCACGGAGCACCCTGTCAATGTGTTCACCCTTATGAGCAAGTAACATGCTGTTTGTTTTCTTCTTTTCAGTTAAATACATATTAGGGGTTGCCACTAGCCATTGAATTTTGTGTTTTTTTAAGAAAAAAAATGAAATTATCTTTTTGACATATGTATTATGATTTTTTACAATATTATTACAATATAAATATGTAAACCAGAAGCTTTTAAGAATAATCAATTTACATTTGTAAAAATCTATCTCACACATAATGTCATTAGACTAATAAAATCGATTTCTTAGCACTTGTGTAAACCACGAAAATATTCACGTTTATTGAGCAATCGGAATACTTCTACTCTGACAGATTAAATAAACGTAGATAATTTTACTTTCATACTTTTCCGAAACTGTTAGTTTTTCCTTCCAATAATATACTAAGTGCTGTTTTAGACAAAAACATAAAAAAATTGGGAAAGGAAATTTAGATATGGGTACCTGGGTACCCGGGTACTGTAAGTGCTGTTTTAGACAAGAACATAAAAAAATTGGGAAAGGAAATTTAGATATGGGTACCTGGGTACCCGGGTATCCGGTTGCCTACACAAGGGTTAAGGTGAGGATATTTCAGTCGGACTTACTTTACTAATAGCAACAAATACTGTTATAAACACTCCATAAATCCGAATTTATAGAGAGCCTGGTGTATGGAATGTATGGATTCGTCATTCAAAATACTAATAAGCGGGTAGCAACCTTTAAAATATTATGAAATGTAATAAAATGTTAACCAGGCCCGTTTCTCAGCATAGAGAACAAAATGGTAATGAATTTTAACACGTTGACTGCCAGCTACGAGATAACTCGTTGTTGGAACATTGCAAACATGATGGATTATTTAAATACCTCTACAAAATTTTGACATAAGATTAATATCACAGTATAATTTAAAACAAGACAAGCAATCTTTATTAATCAAACGCATATATTTTCAAAGATTTATGACTTAAAAAACGAAATAAAGTGTGGCTACGTACTGCCTTTACCACTGTGGCAGAGAACGTGTTAAGCTCCACCATAATGTATTATACATACATTCCAAAAAACCGGGTTTGGTTCTAAAAACTAACAAAACTACACTATTCCACACAATTCTTTAAGACGTGTTAGAGCAAAATCGTGTCGTACGAATAACGTGTTATACGGGACGGGAATTGTCTGTAGAAAATTTAGCAAGTCCACAAACTAAAGCTCTTTTTGCAGACTCGATCCAGCTAGGGTCGTCTTCCAAATTCCTAAAATTTTCCAAACTAGTATAATAGAAAATTAATTCAGGAAATAGAAGCTTCGCACAACCCTGGACAAATGTCTGGATTATATATCACTTACCTACTACAGTGATTCCTCGATAAATGCGACACAAACAATGGCATTATTCCCACCACTAGGGGAGACCCCAGGGGAACCAATCAAAACAAAGTAAACAGAAGTTAAGCAGAGGCTCGGCTTCGGGCAAAAAACAAATTTATGAAGGGCGGAAAATCTTTCCGCCTTGCCATGAATGCTCAAAAGTGAACCCGAGTATGTCGCACTCATCCAAACTATTACTGTATGATGATATCCGTTGCTAACCGATGATCCCAAACCTTAGTCTTTAGTCCCAGTGAGTACACTAACCTCACTATATTGTTACTATCGACTATACTCATGGGCGTATCCAAGGGGGGTCAGAAAAAAGTGGCTCTTTCCCCACCCTACAAGAAAAAAATTGGATTTCGTCCACCCCCCCCCTCCCTTCCCAGAGTTACAAAATGTTTGCGTAATATTTAATATTGCAATATAATTTGAAACACGACCAGCAGCCTCTATTAACAAAACGCATACAATTGCAACAATTTATAACTTGAAATACAAAATAAAGTATATCTGGATACGTACAGCCTTTTTCACTGTGGCAGTCGATGTGTTCAAATTTTGCAACTCCTCCCCCCCGACTGATAACTGATAACCTGGCTACGCTCATGATTGTACTACAATTTCGGTGCCCCTATATATCGTATACACATATGAATTAACACATTTATAGCTGTATGATCCACCGGTAGGTCAGGCATAGTGCATACACATCGGACGGCGAGACCCATTAATGGGTCATGTTACTACATCACCTTTGACTGCCACGTCACCCAAGTCTGGGTGATACTTATTGATACTTACATTATATGAATGATAATTTCAAACCAGACCAACTGATTCTATTAACTACACCAATTTTTTTTCAACGATTTATGACTTAAGACACGAAATAAAGTGTGACTGGCTATCATTATTAATTATACATGACAACTGCAACGAATAAAAGACGTATAATGTTATATATTGATGTTAACCGGACATATGTACAAGGGATGTTTACCGGACATATGTACATAGGACAAGTATGTACCCCTAGTACTACACACAACTAATGACATTGCTGGTGGTTCCAAACCAGAAATATCTAGTAGTTTATACATTGCGTAGTCTCTCAGATGGCACGTGTCCAATTATGGCTTAACAATTAAATCCTCGTGCCACGATAAAAAAGGAACATAGAAAATCATGAGCCGGTGTGAACGTGTTGAAATTAAGCCATTGTTAACGTATTATAATATTTTATAATAATTATCTGAATAATTTGTGCAGACTACTGGGCCGTGGTTCAATGCATGTGTTTTCCTGCGATCAGTTTCAAAAGCTGATGGATGCAAGCAACTTCTCGGGACCATGGCAGTCTTTGATAGATTTAGGTGCGGGCGACGGTGCCACAACCTCTCACATTGCAGATCTGTTCGAGAAAGTTTATGCTACAGACATATCAGCGCCAATGAAATGGGCCCTGACGAAACGAAAATTTACGTAAGTTTTATATATACGCTCCGTTTCGAGTAATTCAATGGGAAATCAAGTCGAAAGAGAAAACATAAATTTCTTTTGTATGTTTCTATAAATTTCTTAATTTTAATATTTTTAACAAGCATGTATCGTAAATGATTTACTGTGTAACATTTATGTCATATATTTCAAGTTAAAGTTAAAACATCAGTATCTATAATATTAACGATTTCCTCTGCTTTTTATGACATAGAGTAAATCAGTTTTCCAACAGAGAAGCTCATTTGAGGGGTGCACTCCGTATAGATGGTTAAAATAAAACTGATTTTTTGGAGATGGTTTTCAAAGAACTTATTTAGTTTAATTTGTTGATGCTTTTAGGTTGACTTAATAAATAGTTTATAAAGTAAAAAAAATGTTGTCCATAATAAAAAATAGTTGGTATATGTCGATTCATGGAGGTAGTTCTCAGAGACAACGGCGTCGGATGTATAAATCGGCGTGCAGCCCACCGTCCACTGTATTCGCCTAAAACAAAAAAACACAAATTTTGTCTTTTAAATAAGATTACGTTATGGATGAACCTATTAGAACAATAAAAAGTGTTTAATTAAAAAAATGACGGGACTTTAAAGACAAAAAAAGCGATTTTTAGACAAAAATTCGTGTTCATTGTGCAATAAATATTATATAATTTAATAATATCGTTAATTTTATAGGTTCATCCAGAGGGGAATTTAATTTTCTATATCTATGCACTGGGATAAGTCGATTGGTCAAATATTTTTTTGTGTTATGCTGCACGCCAAATTGGGAAAAGTAGTTTTGAGAAAAATGCGTTTAAAGTTTCAGGTAGTGAAAAGTGTACGTTTTTGGATACTTACGCCTATTTCGCGCTAATTTACGATTCCAGTTCCATACAGCAAACCTTCTGCTTCTTCAAAAAACTGCTGTTGTTTTAATTGTTCTTTTCTGCGAGCAGAGCGAGCTTCTTTACTACTACTGCGGCTGCGGCGCTCTTGGCGATTTACCCGTGCGGCGTTGTACTTATCAGCAAAGGATTTGCACTCGTGTCCAATTTTTATTTCCAATATGTTCATCATTTTTAAAATGGCACAATGTCCTTTATTGAAAACGCTAGCAGCTATAAAAACGGCGATTTCAATGATATTAATCCCGTAGTTCAGGTGTTTCGGTGCCAAACGCCAAACGGTAGAATTAAAACTTTCATTGGCATTTTGCGTATGCCCGCCGACATATCTTTCCAGAAGATCTTTCTTCGATAGATCTTGGTATATCGGTAATAAATGCTTTTGTACGTCAGGATGAAGTGGGAGCGCGTGCTCGAAACTTCTCAACGACAATATCCTTACTATTCGCAGCAATAAGTTTTCTTGCTGAAGCACTCTCATACGCAGCCTAGACTGACGATATATATCGTCTTTACTTTCTTTTGGATATATTTCAATAACTTTTCACTTCTGCACGGGCCGAAATTCGAAACAAAACTAACTCCAAAAAACAAAATCTACTCCTGTGCTTTCACCGAAGAACATTGATTGATTCTACCTCGACTATAGCCGTACTTACACAATGGTACACAAAGTACAAGACCGACTAAAAATCTGCTCGAAATGATTCTGCGTTCTAGGGTCTACTGTATGCGATGAGCGAAGCGAAGGGACCGACCGGGGCCGGCCCGCTCTGGTCCGATAGCTCGACGCGCTATTGTATACGCACCTAAAACTCCGGTTATGATTCGAATTTCAATCTGTTACTGAAACGACATATTCTCCAGATGCATTATTATCGATTTATGCAAAAAAAAAGTCGATTTTTCAACCATCTATACGGAGTGTCCCCCTTAATGTAGCTTTCTATTCTAAATACACCAAAAGTTGAAATGATGTAGTGATAATTTAAAGAACACATCAATCAACGTTTTGTGTAGTGTTTCATGTTTATTTCGACAGATGTTTTTGAACAGATGGATAGAAGAAAAAATTTATTTTATATGCAAAGGTTAAACGTAGGACGTTCAATAAAATTGACTCAAGTGTATACCGTAATCAAAAACTAACAGAACTCTTTATAGGTTAAACAAATTGCTCTTGCTTTTATTTTGGAACGTCCATCCAATCTAAACAATGGAGATTCTTTACACAATTGTTTATGTAAATTATTTCGTATAATTCATTTTCTCCTATTTTTAAAAGGATGCCATCCAAGCCTCTGCAATGATCCAACATTTTACGGTAGCCAAAGTAAAAGAATCAATTAATTTCACGTACCAAAGCCTGTATCAAATTGAAAATATTAAGAAACCTTCGTTAATCCAATTTGAACTTTCTGTTTCATAGTATACCACACATAAAATCTTCGATCAATCACAGCTCCGTCATTTTTCGTCAGTCCCGAGTGACCGACCTCTATAATCGAGCCAACAAAATCCCTACTCTTACCGTCTTTCGTTCTCAGAGTGCTCGACGTCGAAAAATGGTACGAAACCGGGCCTTTCAACGTGATCCTCTGTCTGAACTTGTTGGACCGTTGCGACCGGCCTAATACTCTGCTGAGACGCCTAAAAGCGTCCCTGGCTCCTGGCGGCCGACTAGTGGTGGCTCTGGTGCTTCCGTTCAGCCCGTACGTGGAAGTCGGCGAAAGGGGCGATCACAAACCGTCGGAATACCTGCCGGTAAAAGGGAACGGTCTGGAGGGCCAGATCGCCAGCCTGGTCGACAGAGTATTCGCCCCGTTAGGCCTGAAGTGTCTCGTATGGAGCAAGCTGCCCTACCTTTGCGAGGGTGATCTCGGCCAGGCGTATTACTTTCTCGACGACGCGGTATTCGTGTTTGAGGCACAGCCTGTTAGTAAACAGTCCACTGAACACAAAATCGAATGTTTAACGGGAGACACTCACACGCCGGAAGGTTTTAGGAGACATCACGGTACTCCGCCTCCGAGTGGACGGACACCGAGACAACCTGAACGAGAGAGGACGGCGACCGACACGGACGGGAATGCAACGCAGGCAAGTCACACTTGTAAAAACTTTTAATTGAATGCTGTCATGAATCAGAATTATGCGAGAGAATACAGAAGAGCAATACTGGCAAGCGACGACGAGCTTAATGTGCAGATACAGCGGTAGCGTTTTGGTGTATCGATATCATTCGAACGGCTCTGTTAGCGAGCAACAAATCGAACGACAACGGTGCGCATTTTTTTTACAACGATCATAACTGTCGATGTCTGTGCAGAAACTTGGTACACGGTCGGTGTGGTATAAATACGACGCGGGAGCAATAAATGCCCGGAAACTAGGTCTGAAACGGTTCACGTTGCGACCGTACACCTCGCACGAGTCATTTCGCTTCACCATCGGACATGATTCCGTACCGTGGTCAGACTTGGTTTCCGTGCTCCCTCGTCTTCGTTTTGCGTTTACAGAGCGTTCCGTCAAACCTTTTGACCAGATAAGATACCTCTGTCGCGCTCGGTGACGGAGAATGAGAATGCGCTGGAAAACTATCGTTTATATTTTTCAGTCGCGCATTCCTTGAAATTTTATGATTATAAACATAGTAGTGATCCCTACTAGCCATGGGCTGAGCTACATGTTTCTGATAACTCGACCGCTGAACGCACAAAATGGGCGTGTACTAGCAACATATGCACAAGGTGACCTAGCTAACCTGACCATACAAAATGTCTGCCTCTAGTTTCCATGATATGAGGAAGCAATTAAAAAAAAAGTTGGAAGTTTCGTGAGTTCCAATATCATGGCTGACAAAACAATCAGGTCATTGTTATTTTTTAGTGGTACGGTATATTTCTTTTTAACGTACCACACGTTGTAGCAGATCACAAGGTGAATTAACCAATGTACAACGATGGTCCCTCGCGACAACGGAATCTTCAGGTGCCTTAAAACGATAATTTTCTGTTCCATCAACTGTCGTGTTTCCGTGAGAAAGTACTGATAAATTCATCGAATCGATCCATTTACAATGTACCTATTGTTATTTCAAAGTCATCTGAAGAAACTGTTATATACATTGTTAAATTTGTTAAAACGTGGTACAGTTGGAAATACATGATTTCATTTGAGAAAAACATCAATGACCGTAATCATATAATATATGAGTACTACAATATTACACCCAATAAACCAACTGTGTATCGGTAATAAGACCAGATGTATTGTAATTGATCATGTTGTCTTGGACACTCTATACGTACAATATACATACTGAATATAAAATTAAATAGCAGTTTTTATACCGTGTTGAGAAAATACTTTTTTTGAAAAATAAATCAAAAAAATCTTCCAATACACCTGTCCCTTGGTTCACAAGGAGTATGCGTTCCTGTCGTTATTTTTACGCGTTACAGAACCACATAAATCGAGTTTGTCAGTACAAACAAAAGTAAACAGAAAAAACCCAATAAACAAAAGAAAGTATGCGTGAAAAGAAAGGCAATACGTATACGAGCATAGTTATGTAATACACGATGCATACTCGACAAGATTGAAGAACTAAAGGATCATCCTATACTAAATTAATTATGTAAACTACCTGTTCACAATTCAACCAAAATAACAATGGAATAGTAGAAGTAGTACGATCATGTAAAAAATTTGTTTGTCATAGATTTACAATAATCCGTATACATAAAACAAAAAAGAAATGCTTTTTGTCCGTATCAAACTAAAGTCATATATGAAAAGTATTGGGTAAATTAACGAACAGGTGATGATAGCCACAGGATTGAACCAGGCGTGAATTTTTAATTATTTAAAATATATTAATGTATGTAAAGAAAACGAAATTTATGGTGCATACGTTCACCTTTGATCAAACTCAAGCAAAATAAACCAACAGCATGAAACAACTCGAGATTTCTACGCTTTAAACAACGCACAAAATGATTTTTCACAGTCCTGTTACCTCGAGAAAACAAAATGCTGTTACAAGGTAAACAGCATGATTTTCTGGACATTTTCTCGATGATACCCGAAGCAAACGAGATATCTCAATTGGTCAAACGAAGAAAGACCGTTTGTATGAAGCGACATAGTCATGGATATGCTTAATTCCGTCGATACTTCGACAGCAAGGCAAACGGCGATACGTTTGCGTTACTATTACATTAACTACTAGAGGAAATAAGTCCATTTAGTTGCTGTAAATACACTTTGGTGTGTAACAGGTAATTGTCAAATTACTTAGACGACACTGCAGCAGCCTTATTTTACGATACATCGAGTAACAAAAACCATGGGGCCATTACAGGACTCAAATTTCTCTGACTTGTGACAATGCACAGCGAGCGATTTATAGAACTCTAAATGCAAAGATTGAACGACATAATGCAACAAGATACCTGCGTGTCTGTTCCGTTCGTCAATATCAAGGATAATCCAGTCTCAATATTCAATACATGTATAGAATTAAACAATGCACTCTGAACTGAACAAACATCACACTTTGAGATTTTGTTCAAATGTAATCTTATCGCGTTTATTGACTCGATTGATATTGCAATTGTTGTTCTTTAAATGCTCCAATTACAAAACTGACTAGAACTATTTATAACTTTAAGTTACTCATCTGTGTACAATATCCTTAAGAAATTTACAACCTGTAAATATCTTTTTCAATTAATTATTTCTTTATTTAAATATAATTTTTTCATTTTACTCAAGAATAAATTTCCTTTGCGATTTCTTGTTTAAAAACTCGTTTAAGGCATAATATTCGAAAAGAACTGCGAATTCGAGAACTTGAATATGTTGGATTAGCATCATCTGAGAGAATTATTAGAAATGTGAAAAACAATCACAAATTTCTTTTAGCTGTCACCTAGAGCTCTGCGTAATTCAGAAAACTCATTAGATACTTTCTATTTGTAACAGTAAAGATCATAAGCATTACTTCAGTCACCCATACGTTCAATTTCTAAGATTCAATGTGCTATCCAAAATATGTCCATTCATAAATCGAATTGGAGTACGTTGTACATATGTTAAAAAGTGAAGCAAAATACTTTTTCTCCTTGATCATAATATGTACACAGGTATGGATATGAAAATATTATGAAAATCTGAATCCTGTTAACAATTCATTGACATAATTGCTGCAGATATATTAAATAAATATACAAGAGTTTATAAGAAATACATTTATACAGGTTGTTACAAAGTGAGAGTTTAGAACTTACAAGACACATAATACTCGCTGAATCGAATAGAAATTGCCTCACGAACGTAGGTGAAGAATTCAACTTATCATGATAAAAAACTGTTCTTGCTCCGATATTTATTGCAACTGATTTGCTTCCTTTCTTTAATTGTGTACAATTTGTAACTATAAAACTGTAATTTAATTATACAGTTCAAAATTTGTGGTGCAAGCATGAACAGAGTGATTCTCATAGAAATGTCTATGAAATGGATTGTGTCTGTCTATTACTCGCTATTTCTACTTTTAAGAAATGGCAGTATAGTAGAATCTATTTTTTTAGTTGATTTCAATCATTGATCTTATTATTATTGATCTTATCTTATTACTTTTGCTCTTAAATTTATATAAAATTAAATGTTTTTATAAATAGGATCATTTTGCACCTGTCACCGATCAAGTCAACAGATTCTCATACACAATTTACTCAAAAACAAATCTCTGAATAAAAAAACTTCGTTCTATTGCATTCATCTTGCTTGTACCACGAATTTTGCTGTACCCTGTACGTCACTACCAGTCAAACATATAGGACCAAGTCTCACGAATACTGAAACTTGAGAACATTATATTAAAACATTAAGAAATTTTGTTTTTAAAGGTAATTCTCCGGTATTCAACAAAATACTATTTAAAAAAAATATAAGAAGGGAGGAAGGACATATTTCTTCAATGTTCCTATTGAGCAATCAAAAGTTTCAGTCATTTTAATCTCAAACTGTATGAATATTAATATTTATAGAAAATCATAGTAAATAATAATGCATTCAAAAAATATATCACCTTAGGCCTAAACATAAGTTTCTACAAATTACAACAAATTAGGCCATCAAGTAAATGTGTACAAATACACTAATGATTACAACGTTACACAAATAATGCACCTGATATGGTAATACATTATTATCACAAAGTGATTACTATATACATATACATAGTTACATTTGGCTCTAATAGTATTATTTTCACCATGAATAGAAACAATAATTGAAATGGTTTCAAACTTTCAGTCAATAATGTGTACTCAATGTGTGAAACAAATATAGTGACTTCTTAGAGCCCTGTTAATTGACTTAACAATTGATTGATGCATTTTAACAAACGTGATTTCCCCATTTATCGTTATCAGGCGCAAAGTTTTGCGTTGTCTACAGTATTTGATCGTAGTACGAACTTATTCTACATATTTAATAGGAATATTCGCATTTTGTACATCGTACTATGTCGTTAGGAAAGGTGATATCTGCATTTCTCTAAACAACACAAAGTGTACACTATAAACGTTTGCAGTATGTTCTACTGTGAATGAGTTAATGAGTCTAGGTTAGACCCCTCAATACTATTATCTACATATTGCTTATCCATTGCCATGTCCTCCGGCTTACACAAATTGAATCATGAGGGGCTAAGAGGAATCAGTCCAAGTGGACAATTAACAGCTTTAACGTATAACAACCTACAGGATTTTACAAAATCACTACATTCGTTCCACTGAGTATACATACTTTTTTACATCAATTTCATTGTATACCATTTACATAAGATATGTTTTGAAGAGCTATCTTTTACAAAAGCAAGGGAGTATAGCAAACATCAAGTTAGTGCAGTGGAATGGAGTCCATTGAAAAGTATTAGTCGGAGAAACGAAATAAAGTAGTACCTCGAGTAGTATTACATTTCTGGAATTATTTAACATTACAATATCACCAATGTGTTCGCGACATTTTAACTGAACAAAATATAATCAAAATTCGACTGATATCGTGTTTAAACACACTGTTAATGAAAAAAAACTCACCAGTTGATAATTAATGTGTTTGGAAATAACAAGAATAAAAGTTACGCCAAAAAGTTTGTCACTAATTAGCCAGAGCAAATTCAATGCACTAATCCCTACCTTACTCTACTGCTTTTGCACTATTATAAATTTATAACAAAATCATAATCATTAACACTAATGTTAATTAAATAAAGCCTCTTGTTAAATCTAAAATATAACACTACTTTTAACCAAAGAATACACAAAGTATATTATTAAAGCTGAGAATTATTAACTCCGAAAAAGTTAATTTCTAAACCTACGTTGACTACTCCTTTTTTACACGATTTAGCGAGTATTGCCTGTGGTTCAAATCCTAATTTCTTCTCCTTTTTATTTACACCCTGTAGAAAGATACTTTAACACAAACATACATATACATTCGCACATGTCCATATAAAAGTTTGGCTATTTTATAGCTGAAACTTTACATTCATCGAACCCGTGTACAAACAAGATTCTAACATTCATCCGTTTCCACGCATTCAATACGCAAAATTCCTCGTTTATATTCAAAAACATACAGTTCGTAACTTGATATTATCGAGCAGGAAGGAAACATTTCACCGTCGCGGATATGCGTATAACAATTGAGTTTAACACAATTTCTTTAGTTTCACAACCGAAATAAAATGCATTTCATCAAAAGATATCAATTAGATAACACATAATAATTTCTTTTTTATCACGCATTCGCGGTTCCCAGAGGTAATATCGTTTTTAAGTAATATTAGCGCACAAAGAGAAAATTTTTAGCATCTGTAACAAATCAGGCTTTAAGGATTTTCTGATAATGTAACTTGTTTTCATTTTTGTAACACGTTCTTGAAAAAATATCTATGAATTGAACAATGATTTTTTTCACACACACCCCACATGTTGTCGTTGCTGCCCATGGAGCTTATAAATTATTACAAATCTTAACATTTTTTACCTTTGTTACTGAATAATATTACACATAACAACAACATACGTTTGATATATTTTTATAAATAAATAATAATTCATTTAACACAAGTTTCAAGAAAAAATATACATACACACGCAGTGTTTAACTAGAAGCCACTAATTATGGCTTCGATTATTTTGATCACATTTATTTATTATACAGGATGTTTCTCAAGAAACTGGCTACCTACATAGTTAATTTACCTAATAATTTATTTCGGTATTATTATATCCGAGTTTTCAAGGTCATTAATATATTAAGTCTTTATGCATTCAATTATAACGATTTAATTAATACAAAGTAAAACAATTCATAAATGTAAGGAAATATTTGAAAGATTTATCCATTACCATGTATCAAAGATATAAAATTGATTGGTATCAACAAATGTTAGAATTTGTTAATTAAACAATTTTTCAGAATTGTTAGTAACGAAACAATATACCAAACTTAAACCTGGTACAGATTTATATGAGTATAAATGTATGTACATGTAAAAAATATCAGTGACCTTGATATGATTGATCCTTTCTTAATAGAAAGAAAACTTTTCCTGTAATATGTTTATTTTCTAAAACTATTGCAAATGGAATCAGTTAGGTAGTCTGCTTCTCATGAAACTCTATATAATAAATAATAGGAAATGATTCAAAAAGTAAATAGTGAAAAGTCTATTTACACTTTCATATTTAAATTCCAACATTTCAAATGTAAAACAAATTTAACTTTTAAATTACATTTAAACATTCAGGATATATATAATGTCACTTAAACAAGGTGCCTCATAATTGATAATATATAGATAAAATTTTTTCATATGTTAGTTTAGTTTTCTAGGTAATTAAGAAAATGTTAGAAAAATCCTAGTCCGACATGTTAAGTAGAAAGCATTTTCTTGGCTTCTTAAAGCAGAAGCTTTAAACATTCATAAGTGTACTTCGTTCGGTATACGTGTATCCAGTGAAAATTCAAATTCAATTTTCTCAAAAACAAAACCAGTTACGAAAAAGGCTTATCTATATCTTTTACTTATTCTTTCATGTAGAATCAAAAACTCTTTTTCAATTGTAAATTCAATTACGAGACATTTTCTGTAATCCATAAATAATCTTTATGATATATCAATTATTGGAACACAAATGGTGACTTATTAAATCAGTATATAATAATAAAATATAAATGCTGTTTTATAACACGTCCATTTTGAAAATTATTTAATACAGAACAGATAATTTTAAATTATCTGACCGTTATTATTAACTAAGCCCCATAGGCAGGTCATGAATATTCAAGAAAACTTATAGCAACAAAATAAAGCTGTTTCATATTTGAAATAACGGTTTGAGTTTCGATTGACTATATATAAATTTGTTCACTACCCATGTTTATCACAGTCCACGCATGACTCATTTTGTCTCTTAGTATTCTGAGGTCCTAAACGCCAACAACATTTGAGCAATCCTTCGGGTTGTTTAAATATAAAACACCCATGTAACCCATAAACACCACATGACTAGAACATCATAGAGCGCAAAGGATAGAACCTGGTCTAACTTAAAAAGCGAAGACATTGTTTTAGTCTAGCTTGCGTTGTTCGCATAACTCTTCTAAACCTCCAGCCTTTCTGCATAAAAATTATAACTCTTTATTTGATATCTCTAGTCATGTAACGAGGGTATATTTATAACATAAACCATAAGAAATACTTACAATGAGGAGAGATAAGGTGTGCCCGTATGATCTAATCGATGCTTATCTTCACTTTTCCAGCTTGAAACAGGAATTTGTGGAGGTGGCAGAAAACTTCGTAATGACTGCACCAGCTGTATAGTATCAACCAGTGCTGTAATAAAATAAGTAATGAAATATTATAGATTTCAGTAATTTGTTTAATGAAGAAGAATTGTGAAAATACTATTCATACATTGTACATCATGCACCCATATAATATTGTATAAAATAACAACGTAACATATTAAAAATGATCTACAATAAATTATATATTTTTTTTACTTTTCTGCAAAGCTTCCGATTGCTTTCCGTAAGGTTTGCACATTGCAGGACGTACGCAAGCCTTCATTCTAGCCATATTTTTCATAACTTCTGCAAACGCCCTTACTATTTTCTCCTGTCCACCTATAAAATAATAAGATTTGGTTATTACGAACAATAATTATATAAATTGAATTTGATAAATAAGTAGTATGTAATTTATTAATCACCTTCTGAATTTGTAGCTGATCGAGATCCTTTGTCATTTTCCAATGGCCAAGCTCCATTATGTAAAGCTAATAAATCCTTATTTGCTCCTCCCATTCCTTGTAGATTACCTAAACCAAGTCCACTGAGATTGTCCAAGTTATCCAAATTTGTTCTCAAAAAATCTGTTAATTTGTGATCAGTCATTGGAATAGTAGGTACTAAAGATTCATAGTGTTGCTTCCCAGTGGTTACTTTCTTCTCTTGTGATACAGGCCGATGTGGAATATTTAATGACGGACGGCTTGGAGGACGTTGTAGATTCATTTGGTTCCCGGGGCCTCTAATTTCAGACAAATCTGTAGTAGATCCTCCTCCCATATGAGTATTTGGGTTAGCACCACTTAATGTCTATAATGCAAACACAAAATATAATTAAGTTTCATTAACACAAAACAATATTAAATTTCTACATATATTAGTAATAATGGATTTATGCTTACTGCTTGAAAATCTGTATTATGAGGAAAACTACTACGCAAAAGAGAAGCAGTTGTTTCATTATCTTGAATATATGTTGGTGGCATGTGTCCCATTTTTTGAGTTAATTCCAATTGATTTTTGTAATAACGACACGCAGGATTTGGACAATTTTGTACCACCTCTATTATAAATTCTTTTTCCATACCAAAACATTCTCGCCCAATAGTGTACGATTCCATAACAGCTCTAACTGTACCTTCTAAGCCCAAATGTAAACCATGTGGACCATTCATGTGCTTTAACATCACAGCATTTGCAAAATGTTCATAGGGCAATATTATCTTTCCATTTTCTCTAAGGACTAACCTTCCCTGAGAGTCCAAAGCTATTCTTGATGCCATCATCCTGTTTAAATAACACAATTTATATAATAAAAATATCATAAATTTACAAGTATTAAATTAAACAATAAATTTTCTAACATGGCAAAACAAGCCTTTTTAAACGTCAAACTTTAATTTATGCATCCTTACTGCAAATAAGCACCACTTGGGATCATAGATGCATCCTTGAATTCAGAAAAACATTGTAGAAGTTCGATGCTTGGATTCCAACCTTTATTTTGAAGATATGCTTGTAATAACATGTACATCTTCTCCGTAACATAGCCAGCACTACTAGGTGTACCAGGATAACCAGAACCTCCGCCTGGTGGTCCCATTTCGGTTTGCATACCTTTGGCAACTATGTTTTTCATAGTTTCTGCTAAGTCCATTCTGTACAAACATAATTATTCAATGTAATACTTTCTATAAGCACATAATAATAATCTATAAAATTAAGAAATAAACAAAACAAATAACTAAAATTAATAAATTGTCAGGTATAATAACACTGTATCAGCATTTACAAAAGTAACATCATTTTATAATGATAAAAATTACAAAACTTTCTAATTTTTGAGTAATTAACTGCTACGAAATTAATCGAAAAAAAAAATTACGATGTACAGTAGCCGTACCGATGCTAATTGACACATGTAATAAAAAGGGGTCAGGAAAATGCGTGTAGGTTGCCAGGGTAGCAAGCTTGGCATTTTAAAAATCCATGCATATTCGAATCCTCCGGCCATTGTTATTTTCGAGATGCAGACGTCTAAAGAAACGATAAAAAAACACTGATGCGAGCCACCGCCCCCTTTAAAAACGGGGGGAATGAACGTTTTAGACACTCACCCCGTACCGAGCACGATTTTCACTCACTTGAAGTGTAACCGGGAACGCTACAGGGTCCGTTTATCACCCTAATCGCCGCTACTTGACATACCCTCATTAATGATTCTTCTCACATTTGCAAATAACATAAATCGCGATAATTATTTCCGCAAGGATTGTTTACGTGACTGGCCGCCAGGGGCGCATTGCCTTCATGATTTTTAGCGTATCCGTTTCGCTTGCGTATGGCTCTATATTACACCTACGTCCTACCTACACCTACGACACTCCAGCGCTTACGCGACGCTACTTTGCGCATTTATCAATACGTATTACTTTTTGTAACTGATATCACCCCACATCTTTTAAATGTTTCAGATGAACCGAATGAAATGCACGTATGATTGTTTGTAGCTCATCTTAATTTTAATCTGGTTTTTAAATCACAGAGTTTTAAATTATAATTTGTTATAATATATTTTATATATTCTCGTTTTGTTTTTTATTTTCTTACCTTAAAGATATATATAGAGTGCATTCCCTGCAACTGGATCAAGATACAGCTATAAAATAAGAAAATGCGGAAGAAAATTTTTCAAAGTAAAACTCATCCCAGATAGCACACAGACGGCTTCACGACGGCTTCAAGACGCCTGTTTCAGTCGTTCCAGTCGCCTTTCAGACGTCGTGAATAGCTTACGAACAGCTTAGGCACAGCTTCTGACCGCCTAATGTGGCAAATCAAGGCGCCTTCAAGGCGTCTTAAACAGGCCTGGATTACGTAATTCGTCGTATTTATCAAATTTAAATTAGGTTAAATGCATCTCCTTAAAAAACGCCATTAACACGTATTAAAAATGGTTATCGATACTGATTAATTGTAATATAAATTTAATCAACGAAAGCATTACCAAAATGAAATCAAACTTAATAACAATTCATTTCGATTTACTATATTTATACAATATTTAAAATTTGATCCCATTTATTTTTATTATTATTATTACATACTGTTCCGTCGTAGACCGAAACGACGGTTATACAGTCAGACGATACCGTTAGTTTTTATTATTTTATTCCTTCTTTCAGTCAATTTATATATATTTTCAAGACCGACCCTTTGCAATTTCGATTTCGTTGACAAAGGGAATCAGAGACAAAAGAAGCGAACATTTGGTCTGCAGTCCGCCACATGCGCTCGGTAACCTGGGACCCATCCGCGCCGGGCCTTACCGGGGCGCGCTGACTCGCAGACAATATA